AGGGCCACTATGTTTGTAGCTGCGTCAAGGTCTCTTCCATGGAATGAATACAAGAAACTTCTAAAGAATCAGGCGTGCGCGAAAAAAATGAGTGTAATGGGTGCGGGGGATATATATCCCGCACGGTCCGACATGGCCTGCAATGCGCGGGATATATATCCCCCGCGTTGTCGTCAATGTGTTAAATGTGCTAGAGACACTGAGCACGATGCCTGGAAGGCGGTGCTGTCGTAATGACTCTCCACTCGTGTCTCTGGATGTCACTGGACGAATAGCGTAAGAGGCTGGGCCCAGCCGTACCCACAAGCGCGCTAAAGTGTTTATTCCATCCATGACGTTTGGTGACGTCATCAAAACGGCATCGCCTCCCAGCAAATTATAAGCAAAAAGTGGGTTGGGTAGAGAAAAGTCCGACGAGAACGATGGATTTGGAAGAATTGGCAGCTTTCACTTTGCGAAAACTTCTTATTAGCCGCTGTCAAAAACGATCATTTCTCCCGCGTGAGTTGGAATTTCCATGCACTTCATTTCAATATATTTATAATATTGAAAAAAACAGCGAATAATATATTGTTATAGCAGAGTGTAATTTCTAACACCACAGCTATTCGCCAAAAAAAACCACGAAGAGTACGTCGGATAGGGTCAACTGTGTTGAGACAAGTGCCAACGGGAGGGGCCGGGTCGTATTTTGTTGAGTTTGTAGGGGGAGTCGTACTTGCTGCAGTCGCGCGAAATCGTATGTGAAATTGGGGTGAAACTGGAGTGTTGGGTGAAGCGCGTGGGAAAAATTTTGCGGTTTGCAGTTGGAATATAGGTAAAATATAGTGAAGATGAGGGATGGAAGACAGGGAAATATTGAGAATTCTTTTCGTGGTAGTAATATTCCCGCTCGACGGCTGTTTTGGAGGGAAAAGTGGGTGGTGTTGGGTGTGTCAAGTGGTCTTAGAATTAAATACTACCAGATTGGTCCCCCGTCAACCGCCGGGACGTTGCTTCCCTGCGTAAGCTTCACGTCTTCCGCTATTCACGTCAGAGTAATACGTCAACACGGATATAGCCCTCCCTCTTGAAAGCGGTTGTTCTCCTTCCCTGCATCCTCTCCCACCCCACCTCTTCTACCCTTTTCTCTTGCCCCTCCGGCTGCCACGACAGCACCATGTCCTCCCTCCCTTTTCTCCTCTCCCCTCCTTCCCTCCCTCTTCCTCCCTCTCTCCCCTCCCCCTCCTCCCCTTCCTGCCCTCCCCTTTCCTGCCCCTCCCTTCTACCCCCCCCCCCCAGCTGCCACGGCAGCACCATGTAGAATGAGACTGAGTGTGCTCGATCGGTGTTTATATAGCCGCTGTGGGTGTTATCATGATCATGACATCAACATCACGAAGTGTTGCCCTTCGTACTCCCTGGTTTTGTGAGCGGTTGGTCCGGACGGACAGAACGACACACACACCGACAAACCGACACACCAAAGTTGTGGTTTATATAATGAAGTGATAGAAACAGCGACCATAATGGCAAGGGTGGTGAAAGGGGGTCGTGAAATTTTTGATTGGAAGAAGGGGTCGTAAAAATTTCCAAAAAATCCCAACGGTAGGACCGACCCTGCGTCAGACGCCTCTCTACTAGACCGGTGTCAGAGTTTACGAATCGAGCGATTCGCTAGTAGTGGATCGAATATCTGGACGATGTACCTGAATTTATACTGACTCCAAAACGGCAATTTCTGAACTTTTTTGCACATGCATACCCTAATTTCCGGTGGATAAGCCCGCGCCATATCACGTAAAAACACCTCCGCTGGTGCAGTGCACTTGCGTACATCTAGAGACAACCGTAACATGCCCATAGGGGTAATTCGATATGCTGATTACGAAAACGACATTCATTTTTAGCGGTGGCGCCATCTGGCGCCAGTTGGCGTCACCTTGTTTTCACCAAAATCGGTGTAAACTTCCTGTATAGGGTTATTATGGAGCCCTGACTACGGATATCATTCGTTTTGGCGTAAACGTTGTTCAGTGCATATTTCTCAGCTGGGGAGCGTAGACGAGCAGAGAAATAGGCCGCCAAATAACGCCATCGCCGAGAATGAATGTCATTTTCGTAATCAGGACACCAAATAAGCGCTATACGGAAGTTTACACGAAGTTTGTTGAAAACAGGTGTCGTGATAAGGTGGCGCCAGTTGGCGGCACCGCTGAAAAAAAGTCATTTTCGTAATCAGGGCATCGATTCACGCTATGAGCAAATTTTCTGCCAGTTTCTGTATAAGTTACAACGAGCGCAGGTGGTTTTTACGCGGGTGAATCGCGGCGCAGCTTGTCACCGGAAATTAGTGTACTTATATAAACCTAGTTCTGTTACTTAAAATTTAGCAGAGAGATCTGAAAGCAGGAAATATCCTGAAGGCCGGATTTATGCTTAAGTCTACAGATGATTTTTAAGTATACAGTATACAAGTATTGGAGATACGGAAGAAGGCATGGCGCATTCCAAATGAATTGACCAGCGCTGCATGTTCAACTCGGACCTTCAAATTGTGAAGCGATTTTAAATGATATAGCCTCAATTTTCAAGGAGCAACAAAGTAGCAGAATGGATTCGAGCCAAGGAGTACAAAGTTGACCGGTAATTCATTTCTTTCGAAAAGCCCGAAAAATTCTCCAATCCCTCAAGAAAAAAACTGTGCCCCGAACGAAAACGGACCCACCCCAAGCTTCACAAGGCACCTAATCAAAACTCAAAAATACGACCCTCTCATCGGGTACTTCCCACTGGGCAGCTGATCGTGACGAGAGAATGGCCAAGAGCCAACAAAGGATTTTTGAGTCAACTGTTCTCAGAGCAAGATCAGGAGTTGAACAGTTAAAATTTATGTTATCAGATGCTATCAAAACCTTTGAAGTCACAAAACACAATGAGAAAGTAATTATGATGATAAATTCTTCGCAAAGGTGCTCCCAAACCATTTTCAGATAAAACGAAGAGCGCGAATCAGAAGGCGACTATCTGTCCAATGGAAATTTGAAGAAGCCCAAGGGGGAAGTTCACCCAGTTGAAGAATAAGTGGGGCATTCGATACCGGAGATACGGTCGTGCTCCTTTGCCGTCCATGACCCTTATTAAACACTACGTACACGTGTGAGCGATGGCTTTATCGATCAGGAATAAGAATTTTGGAAAGCGGTAGTTGTTTATTTGGTTCGCTGTACTGCCAAGGAATTTTATTTACTATTAGAGTTTTCAATTATTATTGTTTTATAATTATTTTTAATTTTTTGGAAATATATTTTATCCTTTCAAAATCATCCGATCTGTGGCACTACCAGGAAATTTCGCTTTTATTCTTTTTCTTCAGGAGTTTCCTGTACAATATTTCCGTTTCAACGACTAATGAGGTGTTATTTTTGAGCAGCTTAACTTGTTTATTTATTTATTTTTATTATTTCTTAAGACTATTCTGTAACAACAAAGGTCGAACAACATTTATAGTTCCTTATAAATAGGATCCCACTCGAACGGGCAATAATCAGGGGCGTTTGGCGGTGCGGCAGCAAATCCTCGGTTCATCATTCTGCATCGGAACTCATGAAGACGTGGCCATGCATCATCGTGTGATTTCGTCTGTGCCGGATCTGACCACAGTCGTTCAGCCACGGCAGACGCACGGGGCCTTAAAAGAGTATTGGGGCCCATGTTACTGCAAATGACTAATCAAAGCATTTCTTACCACATGCGAGTCATGAAATTTGTCCCGTCCACGTATTCTCCCCATAGAGCTGCTTCGCCTCCCAAAACGCGTGCCTGCAAATACCTCATATGAAGTTGATATTTCTTCTACCTGTTCCTGAAACCCATTTATCAGTCTCTTTTCTGGGATGCGCCACGCAAAATGCAAACTTCCCACTCAAAAATCGTAGTTGCAATTCGACCTGCACCAATATGTTCTGGCAGACGTAGTACAAACCTGTGCTTTGATACCACATGCAACGCATGGTACCAACCTACCTACCATGAAGGAATGGATAGGCTTCTTTATTTCCACAGGCCCTACGGCTAGGAAACTTGCCCCTACACTGCTTCCGCCTTGGTTAAGGAAATATACAGCAGCAATTTCAAAAATTTTAAGTCAATCATTTTAAAGGGTGGTCCATCCTTGCAAGTTATCTCTTCGATCTTTTTGTACCGAAGCACTCGAGCAAATAGCCTTATTGGAACAGAAACACTATGCCTAATGGGGAGTGGGCGTCTATTGAAGCATTCAACAAGTAGTTCTCAAAAACCCTGAAAACCTGTACCTTCTGCTGATCGGTACCAGGGAAGTCAGTAGGATCACAATCGTAGTAGGTTTTCCAGTCGACTCCGTATTTGATCAGGTCGAGGTACCTGTAATTCCCTCTTTCAAAGCTGATGTCAGAAACTACATAGTGGGAGTGGTGCAATGGTAGATGGAATCGCTACCACATAAATAAATAATTTCTTGATTGGACCTTAGGCCGAATCACGCTCAGACTAGCCACAGCCTCCGTCTCTTGAAAGTCGATTAATAGGGAGGCCACCCAGTTGCAAATATGTACCTTCTATTTCGGAAAACGAGAAGAGTGCAGACACACACAAATGACTACGGCCAAAGAAAAAGTGGTTGTT